CACATAAGAATGTAAGTTTGTTGTTAAAAAGAATTGTTTCATTCCTTGTATTTGCATCCCCTAGGCTACCATAGTGCCTGACATATAATAGGCACTAAATAAAAGCTTGTTAATGAATTGATTGATAGGGGAAAATATTCTTATTGCTGAGATTTGCTTTATGACTCAAGAAAATATATGTTCATCTTACCTCAAAACACAGTACCAGGCATATATTTTCCCCCTGAATGTGACTGTATTTTTTAAAAGAAAATTTTGGTTCAAAATTTGTTTTAGGGGCAGCTAGGTAGCACAGTGGATAGAGCTCCAGCCTTGGAGTCAGGAGGACCTGAGTTCAAATCCACCTTAGACATTTGACACTTAGTACTTGTGTGACCTGGAGCAAGTCACTTAACCCCAATTGCCTCACAAAAACAAAGTAATAAATAAATAAATGGGTTTTTTTCCTTAATATTTATCCTTCTGAATGAAGGTAAGTGGAAATGTTTTATCTATCAGCCAATAATTAAAGTACTAGTACTATTATAAGTTGGCACTTATATTTGCTATTCTCTTTAATTTAAACAATTAATTTTAACAATTACAGAAGCAACCAAGCAGATGGACTCACAAGGAAGAGGAAGAGTTAACAGCCATCAGGAAAATAAGGAGGAAGTCCCTGTTGATCAACTATTCAAAACTTTTTAAAACAACCCCTTTGTTTTTCAACTGGATTTCTGGAAGTGTCTAACCTAGTTCTAAGTCATTACTCATACTAAATATTCAATTACTCAGTCCTGTAGTTAAAACATTCCAGGCTTCAGATATTATTTCTTTCAAAAATGCCTACATATAATATTTTTTAATTATCCATAAAACATCAGTAATATGCACCAAGACACTATATTTAGTCATTGTAGGTGAAGAAATGTTTTAAAATAATATTTAAATAAAATACTTATTGTACATACATGTTATATGCACTGTACCATCTAATTAACTAAGAACATTTACAACTTTCTGAGTAGAAACAAAGAGCCATGATCACCTACAGAAACTAAAAGAAATGACTAAAAGTCCACTTACATAAGAAGTCAGTTTTGCACACCAGAAACACGGCAGATAGTCTGGTGAAAGCAGAAAGTCTGAAAGCCTCCTAAACCTCTGTTATCTGTATTCTAGGACCTGAAGATATCTAAAATATGAGTCAACAACCTCCAAGTGGTTGATCATCACTACGGGGACCTATGAATGCCTCTGACAAGCCTAGGACAGAAATAAAAGAGAAAAAAAGGTAGAAAGCAAAAGAAAATGAGAAGAACAAATGAGGTGATAGGGTATAAGAAGAAAGAAAAGAAAGTGCCCATCTATGGTGGGGAAGTGGTCATTAGCTGGCAGCCATCGCTGCAGATACCACTGAGGGGCAGCACTGCCACAGGTTGCTTATCCTTCAAATCATTAGAACTTCCTATGAATCTCTAGATTCAGGCTTCAGTGGATAACAAGATATTATATGCTTCCTCAAATGGTATCTTTCCCGAGATAAGCAAGAAGTCTGTCATCATCCTGTTCTTGGCAAAAACATAAACAGCTGGTCAGACGACTTGTTAATCACATACTATGGAATTACAGGCACTGGCATCATGGCAGTAGGGTGAGGTTAAGAGGTGGGGACCAGGGAAACAGGAATAATTCAAAAGCCAGCTTCTATGACAGCAGTATCTATACTCCTTATCCATATCTGTGTAATAATTAATATTTCATATTTAATTTGCCTACATGGTAACTGTTCAACTAGGTTAAGTAACTATGACTTTTTTCTGGGTGACATTTTGTTAATTATATCTTTTAGCAATAAATAGATTTTTCAAAGGAAGACTCTCCCATCTAAATGAGCTGATTTCTGTGAGTGGATAGTATACTTCAAATGCTTAAAATACTAGGTCTAATTTTCAATCACAGAAACTTATTCATAAAGTAACTCCCTACCCAAGCAATTAAATTCTGCACCATTTTTCCATAAAAGATCCTCTTAAATCCTTTGTCAGGTACTATTCTTAAAAATTCCTCCTACTCATTCTTTTATTGACAAAATTTCCCATTTTTAGAATAGACTCAGATAGGTAGTGACATGAGTCTGTTTGCTTTTGTTCCAACAATTAACTGTTCTCTCAAAATTCAAATGGTGATTTTTAAATGTTTTCCAGCTCAGAAACTTGGGGCAGTTCTCATATTCTCTGGCTATTAATAGGCAATCAGCATTCTAATAATAATTATTATAATTATTTTTAACATTTATATAACCCTTACTATGTGCTAGGCACTGTGCTAAGATCTTTACCATTATTATCTCACTTGATCCTCATGACAACCCTAGGAAGCAGAGTGCTGTTATTATTCCCATTTTACAGATGAGGAAACTGAGGCAACAGGAGTTGTGTTTTTCCTAAGGTCAGACAGCTAGTAAGTGTCTAAGGCTGGATTTGAACTCAGATCTTCCTGATTCCAGGTCTAGTGATCTATCCACTGAACTACCTAGCTGCCCCATTCATATAGGGACAATTGCTTAAGCATTTAAAAAAAAAAGAGATACTTGCTATAAAATATTATGACTGAAACTTTACATTTGCTTAGTAGCATGCCTATGCTTACAATCATATATGTGTTGTGCTGCTTCTCACAGTCAATATACAAAAAGACTATCTAGCTTTAAATATATATGTATATATATATACACATACACACATACATATGTAATCCAGCATTATATGTGCAACATTTTAAATAAATTCTTAAAATACTCGTGCTGTTTGTCCTATTAAAATTATAGAGCAAGTAGCATGTTTCAATTATCTGGATGAAATTAAGATTTAATAAATTAATATTGAAGTAATCCACTATAGTTTTACTCACTTAAGGAAGATTAAGATCTATAGCCTACTTTAAAGAGAAAAAGAATATTACATTTCATTCAGCCATATATTTCCAAGGCAATAGTGTCTAGTGTACTGAAATGCAGGACCTAGTAAAAGAGGTCAAATAAAGGAGAAAAAAAAAACTTTTTCTTGCCTACAGAATAAAGTATCTCCATCTGTAGTATTATATAGGGTACTGATTCAGAAAGGGGGGAAAAAGATAGAACATATAGATATTTGATTTTTTCACTTGCTGAGTTCTTGACTCGGTGTTCAAAAATGAAATAGCCTCTTGTTAGAGAAGCCATTATTTGCTGTTATGTTTTTTTTTTCACTCCCACTACATAAAATATTGTTAAAGTGCCTCTCCATTGCTCCAAAGAGTAGAGGTTGTAGTCTACAGAACCAGGCTCAGCAGACAGCTACCTTGTTCTAAGTTGCCAGTGAAGCCCTTTTCTTCACTGGGTGCCAAAAATCAAATCTTGGCCACTTAATGCTCTGTGTTCCACATGTTAGCTCACAACATGTTGAGCAGCCGTGCTAACTGAGATGGATAGTGCTGTCAAACAGGAAGCTGGCACAACAGGATGGAAACAGTGGGATACGATGACCTTTACATTGAAAGAAAAATGTCCCTGAAATGGCATGAAGAGTTTAAGAAAAAAAGAAGGGGGTAAACCCTTCTTTTATTGCATTTAAGTGCAAAGCATGAAATAAAAGCAGTGTCGCCCTGTATGCAATTTGCTGGGGATCAAATACTGAATCCCTCTCACAAGAAGGAAAGTAGTCAGAGGAAGGAAATGAATCATCCTTTATCATGCTGCTTTTAAAGTAGTTTGTTCTAGGATTAAGCTAGCATTACTGGACCCAAGCTTGCAGACCACTTGAATTCAGACTCCACTGGTGCTCTCTTCCAATATGGAGAACACATCAGTTTTTGACTAGGGTTCTTTAATCTTTGGTTTAGAGCAAGGGGGAAGGAAGGTGGCATATCGGAATGACTAAGTAGCAGTTAAAATAATTAAAACATGTTCTAAAGTCTGTGATTTATTTACAGAAATAAAAAATCCATGACTCAGGAGTTTCAGTCTCTATTTCTTAGTTACCATATAGCTTTGTATCTTAGCTTCTTACTGCTCCCCTACCAGTAAATGGAAATATTACTGACCAAGCTCAAAAGAATATTGTGAAGAGGAATCAATCAAAATGACAACAAAAATCTCTGAACACAGGGAAAGCGATACAAATATAAAGTAAAAGTAATACTTTGACCTCTTCTCTATAATATAACAGCCCTCATAAAATTGTCATTCAGGCATTTCTGTTGCTACATAAGGATAACCATTTCAGTGGGACAACTTTTTCAGCCTTCTCCTAATAGTTTTGTTTGTTTTATATTCTGTGGCATTGTAGAACAATGACCCAGGCTACAGAATGAAACAATGGAGTTACAGGATTGCTTCTAGAGGAGGGGTCCATAGAATAGTAGTACATGCTGAAGTATGTCATTTTCATTAGAGGTAAAATGAAATCATCATAAAAGTAGCGAGCACAGAGTAATTGGCATTTATGTAGCATGCTAAAGTTTGCAAAGTGCTTTTTATGCATAGAGCTGTTGTCTTTTTTAAAAACAAAAAAAGAATAAGGGTACATGTTTTTATTATTGTTATCATTATTACTAAAAAATCTGTCCGTAAAACTTAGAGGTCATGAACCCAAAGGAAAGAGAAAGCCTAACTCGGTCACATCATATAGCAATAGCTCCCTAACCTTCTAGGCGGTCTGACCTTTTAGCAGTTTTGATGAGTGTTAAGCAAAAGATCTTAGGACTTAGATACCAGAACAGTTTTAGAAAAGGTGGATGGGGGACTCCAGAAAGACTACTGGCACCTCTAGAAGGTTCTAATCTAATGCTTTGCAGAACAAGCAAAAGGCATAAGGCTTTCCAGTGACCAAATGAGAAAAAAAAAAGGTTATATTAGCTATTTCTCCAGAGAGTAAAACTACAAATCATTCCTCATCCCCTTCACAGAAGATGATTTCAGGGAAACTTAGCTTCTCAAATAAACACACAGAGCATGAAGAAAGAGAAGAGTATTTGAATACCTTGTGCCTGAGCTGCAGAACTGTGGGAATACCCAAGGGCCAAGAGTGCTGTCTCCACCAGCTGGCTGAAGAGCACGTCTTTTCGAACCAGTACAAACTCTGCATGTTCTTCTCTGTTGTCATATTCAAGAGAGCTGTCCAACTGCTCCACCACGCAAAAAACAGGAATCATCAAACCTGGATGGATTTTTAAAAATTCAAAAGCAAAACAAAAACATTACAAAGTAAATATCAGCAACAATGATGAGGGAGAGACAGTTATAAAAGTCACTCATCTGTGCTTGAAAATGGTTTAGATTAAACATGCCTCCTGGATGCATCAGCCTAATGGAAATCTGTGTGAAGAGAGAGGGAGGGAGGGAGGGAGGGAGGGAAGGAGGGAGAGAGAGAGAGAGAGAGAGAGAGAGAGAGAGAGAGAGAGAGAGAGAGAGAGAGAGAGAGAGGGAGAGAGGAGAGAGAGAGAGAGAGAGAGAGAGAGAGAGAGAGAGAGAGAGAGAGAGAGAGAGAGAGAGAGAGAGAGAGAGTTTTCCCCATCATTACTAGCAGACTGCAGCATATTAGCCTAAAGATTGTGGTACAAACCCTATTACTTCATTTAAAACTAGATTGGACAAATCATTGGTATACTTACTGTAGGACTATAAGTTAATGTTAGCAGAAAGATCTTTAGGGTCTCTGATTTTCTATAATTTGAAACTACTTATTGTTCAACATTAATATTTTTGGCTCAGGCTTACTTTTGCCTAGAAGCCCAGTTAAAAATAAATGTAACTCTAAAACATCGACCACAGCTATTCTATTATTTCAGAACCAGCACTGTTCTGCTGAATGTGCAAAAAAGCAAAAAAAAAAAGTATTAAAAATAAAATTCCATTCAACATCTATCAAATAACTATTATGTATGGAGCACTGTTCCAGATGCAAAGTTTGGATGAAACACAATTTGTACCTTCACAGATCTTACAATCTAGTAAGAATCTGGAAAAAGGTTCCTTTTAATTATTTTTATTATTCTCATCAAACCTCGAAGAAGGAAGAGTAATGGATTCAGGTTGAGGATTTGGATTCAAATTCTAACACTGTCACTTACTGTCTGTATAACCTTAGCAAGATAACCTCTCTGACCTGTTTCCTTTGCTAAACTAAATGACCTTTAAGGTCCCTTCCATCATTCCTTCCATGAACTATTTGGTCATTAGTTGACATAAAAGAAGTTCCTTCAAGCCCCTGACCCTAGATGTTTTTATCTTATATTGAACTTATGTTAAAATTAGCATATACTTACAAAATATTTTGAGAAAATGCACTGTCAACACCAGGTGCAGCTGAAAAGGGAATCTCTTTTTTTGGCTTTTAGAGGCTAATTGGAAATCTGTTGTCATTGAAATGTTTCTCTGCTTTGTATTAAAGTGTGAAATGTTAAGCAATGTGTAATTCACTTGAGGTTTTTAATTTTTTTTTAAAAAACCTGCTTTTTAGTGTAAAGTCAGAGGGGCTTTTAAATCTAAACTCAGCAGAGACATTAGAAGATCAAGGCTATACCCACAGAGAGGTAATGAATGCTGATATTTTCTTACAGGATCCACTGTTATTAATATATCATGAAACATATTGATATATCATTGATATATCACTGGTGTTTTGGCTTTATCTATTTGCCGGTGGCAGCAAAATAATACAAAGTTGGAAGGGTGAAGAAGGTAAAGGGAAGAAAGGAAGAAGAGACAGAGAGAATGTGAATGTGCACTTATGTATGCATTTATTTGTGTCATTTGTGAACTCAGAAGGTAGGACAGATGGGAAAGGCTACCTTCTGAAAATGACTTGTTTTGTAAAGCACCTATAAGTCTAAGTCACATGTAAATGCATATAATCAGGGTGATTTTGAAGGTTTCTTCCTCTAACATCCCTAATAAGGAATCTACTGACTTATTCTGTTCTTCTGAAAGCCAGAGGGTAGAAGACAACATGCTGGAAATTATAGTGAAACCGATTCAGATTTTTGTTCGAAAGATAATAAAATGGTTCAACTAGTTTCCATGTGATAATTATTATTATTAAAGCTAATAAGTATTGGGTATAGTTATTAAACATAATAATTATTAATGGTAATAATACTCATTAAGAATTGTTATCATTAAAATATCATGATCTTTATCACTAAGTCTATACAACAGTCTAACAAGTCACACCATACCAATGACTTACTGCTGAAGGTTAATTTTTAAGAACAGCAATATAGCATTAGTCTCTACAGTGTCTGCATACACACAGAGATAACTTTGGATGAAGACAGAAAAAAAGCAGATTGATTTCTTTTTTTTTAAGAAAAACAAGAACTTTTAATTGGTTAAATGATGTGGTATTAAATGCATTGTTGTTTTAACTGGGTGTGATTATTAGAATATATGAGAGAATGTAATTACTCCACAATTATTCAAATCCACAAACTTTCAAGAGCTAACCAAAGGAGTATAAAAATTTCCTGAGCAAAAATTAAGAAACTTTCCTCTACTATTCACAATAGAGCTTGACTGTCATGCAACATCTCCTTACGTAAACTTCTTAACTCCTAGCTCTATTTCATGGAATCTCATGGACAAAAATCTGAATTACCTGGCAGGCCAACTTTCTGGTGATGAATTATTTTCTATATAAGCTTGGCTAGCAATTAGATAGCCAATACAGTTAGTCACATTGGCCAAACCAAGCACTTTCAAAAAGTCCAAATTTATTAACTACCACAGAACAACAACAACCCTCATTAACACCAAGATTCTGCAAAAGAATGGCAAATCAATGAATGCCACAATCTCAGAAAAATCAACTGGCCATAATTATAGGCTTTAGCACTTTAGCAATGACATCTTCAGAAAGAGAAACCATATAAATGACAATGAGGACTTGTACAACCAGAAAAGGACATGGGTCAGTTTGCTATCTTTATATCAAGACAAAGAAAAAAACAAGACAACCTGAGAGATACAAAGGTACACTACCTGGAAGTCTTAAAAATCAGACAGTACCTCCAACTTGTTGAATAGATATGTCCCATGTGTAGCATTTCTAGTTTAGATAGATAAGACATGAAAGGAGGTATTATTCATGACAATGAAACAAACAGGTCACCTCTCAGATAAAAAAATACATATATGATCCTTTTACATCACTTAGCACAGTGCCATGCACACAATAGACACTTAATATTTGTTGAATTGAAGAAAGCCTATTGATTCCTAATGATTCAAGAACACACAATATGTACAGTGGTGCCATAGAGTTTTTAGTGCCATAAGTTATTTCACTGCCAACACCTCAGTATACATTGGTTTCAAAATTATAAATCTATTTCTCATTCTTGATGTCAATAATTAAGAGACAGTCAGAAATAACAGATAAATAATTTTAAAGAATTCATTTCTGTGAACTTTATAACATGTTCAGTGGCTAGGCCTTAATTCTGTGGATAACTAAAAATCTTGAAGCCCTGTTTTTCTGAAGCACTAGAAATTAAATGAAAATGTACATGAAATTAATAACCAATGCACACATATACACTATCTATATGGGATATTATTTTCAAAGAGCTAGCTGTGATGGTGGCTTCAAGCCCAATGATATTTTTGAGATATTTCAGATCAGTGTTCTTGGTGATAATTTCATGGAAGCATTAGCTAGTTGCTGCCAAAGGTTAAGACAGCTCCATGAATACATAAGTGTCTAATAAATACTAGCTGTACAATGACAAAACAAGATAACACTTTATATGTATATAGTGCTTGTAAGATTTTCAGAGTGATTTCTTCCTAATAAATTTGTGAAGAAGTACAAGTATTATTACACCCCCTTTCCTGATGAAAAGACTGAGGCTCTGAAAGGCTGTGACTTACACATTATCATACAACTGATAAATATCATAGGATAATAAATTTTCAGCTGGAAAGGGACCTTAAAGACCACCTTTTCACATTTTATAAATGAAGAAACTGAGTCTCAGACAGGTTATGTTACTTGTCTAAGGCCACAAGCTAGGATTTGAAACAGGTCCTATGGCCCCAAATCCAGCATGCTTTCCATGTACTATGAAATGATAACGACGTCATAAGCTCTTGGTCAGGATTGGCTCTGACAGAAGTAAGCATGAGATTTGGAGTAAGTTACTTTTACCTTGCTATGCCTTAGTTTCTTTTTTTATAAGAGGGTGGTGATGACACTTGCCATTCATCTCATGGATTTAGAGATAATTTCTGAACTAATATATTTAAAATAACTGAAGCCCCTTGTATGAAAGGGTTACATAAAAGGAATTACAATTGACCTTTGTTAATCCCTAAGAAAGATGTTTTTAACTGGTATATGATGTAAAAATAAAAGTTTTATAGTAGAATGCAATCTTTACAAAGGTAGAAAGAAATGCAATTACTGAATACTACCACAAGGGAAATGGATAACACTGAAACACAAGATTAGGGGGAAAGGAAGTAGAGAGGTAGACTCAAAAATCCTTTATAAGAAATCCCCTTGGAACAAACTATAAAAAGAAAATAGAAGAGGGAGGGAGAGAGGGAGAAGAGGGGAGGGAGGGAGAGAGAGAAACAGTCAGAGAGAGACAGAGACTCAAGTATTCTGCCTACCCTAAGTAGAAAAATATTAAATTACGAGCACAAGCACAGCATGAAACTCACCATTCTTGAGAAAATATTTTAAAATTTTAAATTAAAATAAGCAAACATGGAAGAAGTAAATGAAAATATAATCACAGCAAGAGTTAAAAGGAAATGTTTTAGGAGATAAAAGAAAGTCAGCTTTCCAATATGGCAACTCTACAGCATACAACTTTCTGCATTTTTAAAATTATAGCTCAAGCCTATATTCAGATGATCAATTAGAGAACTCTGAACCCTTTGATTATAAATCTTGCTAAGCTCCTTACAACTGAGGGAGTTAAATTTAAAGGATAGGCTCAAAACATTTGCTAAAAAATAAATGTTCTTGCAGTTGGAACAAATTGTAAATTTCATTGTCATAGAAGCATAATAAACATGGAATCCCCTTTAAAATGAATACTTATTTTTACTAATAATCATGTTTGTTCCATTATTGGTGAAGATCAATTTGTCATTTGTATTATCAAAGTATCAAAGCCAACTTTCTTAAAGTTTAGTTTGTTTGTTTCT